TCATTGTCAAACACCTCAAGGTGCCTCATGTCCTCAACGCGCATAGGCCATGGGAATAATTCAAAGGGATAGTCCATAACCTCATCTCTAGCTACTGCCCAATCACGCGCAGAACAGACTTCACTGATTGACTCCGTCTTTAAAAACGGAAGTTAACAAGGAAAAACTGGAGAAAGTCCCTAGTTGATAGGTCTGCTAAATCTCTCAATAGTTATAAGATTCAGAGGAAGCGGGTCAGACGTCTTATTTTCAGAGATCGACAGATGTTCGAAGAGGATCTGTTAAACCATGCCATGGTTAATCCCGAAGTCCTTTACAGTTATATAAGACAGAGCACGCTGAACAAGGATCCTATTCCCCTACTGCGAACTATCGTATGTGCGGAAATCTCAGAGGACAAGGATAAAGCTGACCACCTCTCTCAGTTCTTTCGGTCCGTCGTGACGGCCGAACCCGACTTTCCCCCCCCACTTTTGAAGACGATGCACTGCCTTTTCTAGACACAGTCATATTCACCGAAGAAATACTCAAGACGGAGTTACTAAAATTGAAAGAATCGATCTCCCCAGGCCCTGATGCAATACCGGCCAAGCTGTTAAAGGAACTAGCTTCTGAAATGGCCAAGCCGTTAGCTTAATTTTCCAGGCCTCATTTGTTACTGGGTGCCTACCATCTGATTGGAAGACAGCGACAATCACTTCCCTTTTCAAGAGTGGAAGCCAAGCGTCCGCAAATAATTACCGGCCCGTGAGCCTTACCTCCATTTGTTGTAAAACCATGGAAAAAAATCTTTAAGAAGGCGTTGCTGCAGTTTCTCGAGCAGAATCACCTCCTTTCTGATGCCCAACACGGTTTTCGCAGTGGTAGGTCCTGTCTTACGAATCTGCTCTACTCACTTGGTCGCTGGACCAAAGCACTTGATAAGGGCAAAATGATGCATGCTATCTACATTGACTTCAAAAAGGCGTTCTACGGCGTCTCTCACCCACACCTCCTGCACAAGCTGCGCAGCGCAGGCGTTCGCGGGACACTCTTCCTATGGATCCAAAACTTTTTGATAGGACGGTCCCAAAGAGTATAAGTCGGTCGCCAGCAGTCCTCGGGGATACCTGTGGTGAGTGGCGTTCCACAACGCTCAGTCCCACATTATTCCTTGTTTTCATCAACGACTGTGTCAGGGATCTAGACTGTGAAGTCACCTTGTTTGCCGACGACATAAAATTATGGAAAGTCGTCCAAAATGCGGCAGATGAAAACCATCTGCAAGCTAACTTGAACAGATTGAAGAACTGGTCAAAGCATTGGCTGATGCCTTTCAAATCGGCAGTTGTAGAGCATCCAGCACGAAGGTCTATCCCTTAAACGGTACACCGCTGCAACAAGTTGAGAGTCAGAAGGACTTGGGTGT